GAGCACCTGGGAGTTCGAGGAGCTCACCTTCAGGGCCGGTGAGTCATTGACGCCGTCCCCAGTCACCGCCACAATGTGTCCGAGGCTCTGGAAGCTCTCGACGATCAGGAGCTTCTGCGTGGGTGACGTCCTAGCGAAGACAATCTGTATGATTTGCATAAGGGAGAATCCATAGTCGGAATCTTTATGGTAGGGGATGTTGATCCTCGCCCCCACGCACCTCAGGGAAGCGATTTAGAAGCGCGGCGAGCATTTCCTTCGTGTAGTCGACGATCTCCGGGCCGGTCATCAGGAGGCAGGCAGCCTCCTCGGCGCGGACCTCGGCCACGGGCACCTTCTTGGCGCGGGCCACGTCGGACGCGATCTTCTGGTCGGGCGAGAAGATGCCTACCTGGCCCGCGCCCGGGGGCGCACGGGGACGACAAACGGACACCTCGCCTCAGGAAGGATTCGAACCCGAGCCCGACGACGCGTGGCGCACCGACGGAGTTCCCGGCCCAGCGCGCACCCCAAGGTTGAGGATTATGGCGCCGGCATGCGGGCCACGTTAACACGCGCCAGCGGCGAAGCTAGGGTTGTGCGAGAGAGGCGCGGAGCTTCGCCGGTAACGCGCACGCGCATGCATGCGTTGCTAACTAACTGTGCCTTTCCAACACAATTTTTAAGTACTAGGTGGTACATCCATTCGACAAACCAGGCGTGCGTGCGAGCTGCCTACTCGATCGGGCCGTTCGGTCAGAGAGATGTGCTGTAAAATTGCTCGTGCAGGTGCGTCCTGTACAGCACACCGCGCCCCCGCGGTTGCTACACCCTACGGCTGCCGCCCGCCCCGCCCCCCGCCTCACCTCCTTGGCGATGGACTTGGCCGTGGTGGGGTGGTCGCCGGTGATCATGACGACCTTGATCCCGGCGCGCCTGCACTTGGCCACGGCGTCAGGGACGGTCTCGCGCGGTGGGTCCTCCAAGGCCATGAGGCCGACGAACGCCAGGTTCTTCCGGGGGACGTTCTTGGCCGTGAACTTGAAGCCCTTTGGGAACGCCTGCACGCAACGGTTGCATTTGGATCAACCGACCGGTCACAGCCGCTGAATATCAATCAGCTTTCTTTGGCCAAGATGAGCTCAGATATGCGGCGTACCTACCTTGTCGTCGGTAGTGGACCTGGCGAAGGCGAGGACCCGCTGGCCCTGTTCGGCCATGCTCTCGCACGCGTCGTGCACCTCGGCGGCGAGCTCGGGGGTGATAGTTTGGGCCTCCTCCTTGCCCCTGACGCGTACGCGGTCGCACATCTCCAGGACGCGCTCCGGGGCGCCCTTGACGGCCACCAGGTGGCGCCCGCCGGGCAGCTCGTGCACCGACAGCTGGTACTTCTTGGAGGAGTTGAAGGGCTCCTCGTACACCTTGGCGTAGCGCTGCCTCGTCTCGTAGACGCCCCCGAAGCGCGCCTCGGTGAACTTGAGGATGGCCACCTCCGAGGCGTCGCCGACGGCCTTGCTGCCGTTGGGCCCCGGGCCTCCCGTCGTCAGCTGGGCGCGGTTGCAGAGCGCCGCCACCTGCGGTTCGCCGACACCGTCACAGCAGCCGCCGTGCCCGCCTAGGACCAGTCACGGACCCACCTGCACGAGCGCGGCCAGGCCGGGGTCGCTGTCCGCCGCCGGCAGGTCCGCGGCCGCGGCGTGCATCCCGCGGCCCTCCCACCACAGCCGCACCACCGTCATCTTGTTCTGCGTGAGCGTGCCCGTCTTGTCGGAGCAGATGACGGACGTGAAGCCCATCGTGACGACGGCCTCCATGTCCTTGACCATGCAGTTCCTGCCCGCCATCCGCTTGGCGGCCAGCGACATGCACACGGACACGGTGAGGGGCAGCCCCTCCGGGATCGTGGCCACCAGCATGCCCAGGACGAAGATGGTGCTGTCCAGCCTGCGGCACGAAGGGTGTCAGCACGCATCTCAGCCTGCGCTGCCGCAGTGGCAGTGGCGTGCGCTGAGCACCCACCACGTGTAGCCGAGGGCCATGGCAGTCACAAAGATGACGATGTTGGCCACGAGCGAGACGTAGGCCACTCCGCGCAGGAACGAGTTGATGTCCTTGTCGAGCGCCGTGTCGCCCGGCTCGATCTTGGCCGTGAGCTCGGCGATGCGCCCCACCGTGGAGTCGGCCGCGGCGCGGATCACCACGCCCTTGGCCAGCCCCTCCACCACCGTGTTGGAGAAGAAGGCCATGTTGAGCGAGCGGTGCGGGTCGTTGTCCGTGGCCACGGTCGTCACGGCCACGGGGTCGCTCTCGCCGGTCAGCGTGGAGAAGTCCAGCTTGCAGCCCGTGTTCTCCACGACGCGGATGTCGGCCGGCACGCAGTCGCCCATGGCGAGGTGCACCACGTCCCCGACGACCAGCGCCTCGGAGGGCATGCTGCGCACACGGCCGCCGCGCAGCACCCGCGACGACGGCCGCAACATCTTCTGGAAGGCGGCTATGATGTCCGCGCTTCTCTTCTCCTGCACACGTTTCACGTCGAGTCGACGGCAAATGAACATTGACAACAAAAGTTCGTCGTTCTGAGATACAAAATACTACCGTCGATTCAGCGGAACAACTTCTTGTTCATAGACGGAACTTGCCTGAAAGTAGCCGAACACGCTGGTGATGGCGATGATGATCAGGATGAGGACGCCGAGGAACAGGTTGTCCTTGGGGCCGTCCGGATGCATGTGCTCCTCGACCAGGTAGCACACGATGCAGAGCACGGCGGCCACCCAGAGCAGCACCGAGAAGGCGCCGAACACGTGCTTGAGCAGGAGGCGCCACCAGGCCTTCGGCGGGATGCGCGGCAGGGCGTTGGGGCCGTTCTCCTGCAGCCGTCGGCGCGCCTCGCCCTCGTCCAGGCCCACGTCCAGGTCCGTCTCGAGGCGGGCGCACAGCTCGGTCAGCGGGATGCTGTGGTCGTCGTACACCTCCTCGTGCTTCAGGTCCTCGAGCGTGTGGTCGCGATGGCCGTAGTGGAACACGGTGTTGTTGGACGACGTCGCCATCCTATGGGCGGACGGACGGCCGCGCACCCGCGCACCGTGCCGGCAGAGGTTAGGGTCGCCCTTAGCCTTGTGCACTTGCCGTTAACAGTCGCGAGCCAAGCAGTGTTGCCAATCGCAGCGCGAAAACCGCGCGGGTGAGTGCCGAGAATGCGAGCGCCTTTTCGCTTCTGCGTGAAGACCGACGAAAGGGCGAGATTAAAAATTAGAATTCAACAAAATTTTCGTAAATTCGAATAAAAAAAATAATTGTGTCTCCAGCTTAACAAAATTTTATGGATGTAACGTGCATCTTTCGTTGCATCTAATATATTTTTTCTGTTGTTGGAACAAAAGATGTGACCAGAAAGTACCAAGTTCAGCCCATGCCCATACAAAGGTCTCATAGCGCCTGATGGGTAGGCAAAAGTTCTCCTTCGGTGCATGCGTGTCTTGCGGGGTGGCCTACCCCGAGTCTCGCAGGCGCCGAGCTCCTGTAATTTGCCGAATGAATATGAGAGAAACTGACGAGCCGTGCAACTACAATTATTTATTTTTCGCTGTGTGAATATTATGTCAGTTGTACAGTACAATGAGGCAAGGAGTGGGAGTTGGGCGTGGTTGCTCTGGAGGGTCTTGAGGTTGATCGAGCAGAACGACGAGGAGGGAGGACAATCAATGGCTCCTCCCTCCGCCCTGCCCTCCCCCTCCCCTCCTCTCAGGACCCCCGCGCACCGCTGCGCACTCGAGAGCACCTCTAGTCGTCGAAGCGAGCTGATACAGAGTGCACTGCAGTGTAGTGGTTGTTTCCAAAAAGGAACAAATTTAAAAGAAAAACGCCCTACTATTGACTGGTATGTACGAGGTAAACTGAAAAAAATGTAGTCGCAGTGTTGTAACTTGTGGTATTTCGGTGGCACCAAAATATGGATTTGCCTTGATGTGGTGGAGGTGCTGGCGCTGATGGCGTTTAGTAGGGGTTACAAAAGTTGCTGCGTGTTGCTGCGCGGTACGGTCGGGTGTGCTCTACTAGTACTCCATATAAAGTCGCCGATAAGCTGCGGAAAGATGGGAGGCGATACCGCACGGCTTTCCAGTCCGCACAGGTGTGCGTGTGTGTCCGTGTGTGCGAGCAGTGTGCCCGTGTGTGCGAGCAGGGTGTGCGTGCGCGCGCGCAGGGACGACAAACCACCCCTTGTCCGGCGCGTCCATGAAGCCTCGTGTATCATGCATGCGTGACGTGTCCGTCGCGACACTTATTGCCGGCCAGTTGTAATGGGACTTCCCCACAAAGCGCTCGGGCAGCGGCAGCGAGCGACAGACACGGGCGACAAAACAGAAACAACTTTTGCTGTTTTCACAACAAAATCAGCGGGACAGAAAATAATTCTTAGCCTGTGTCTCCGCATTTCTCTCGTGATTTTTCCAAGTTCCGAGGGGGCAATAACTCCGAATTCGGATTTTTCTTGCAGTTCTCAGGTTGGTTCCTCGCCGTTGTAGCTGCAGCAGCGGCAGGAGCACTAGAGTGTGCATGAGAACGTGGAGGGGTCCCCGACCACTTGCATTCGGCCAATTACGCAAACAGGCCCCCTTAAACGAGATGGGGGAAGGATTTGGGCGTGATGCGCACGCATGCGACTAAACGAGACGACCTCTGCGTCCGAAATGCAGTGCAACTTCCGGCGCCGTCGTCGGTCGTCCCTCCCGTCACCGTCATCGTCGTCGTCGTGTTCGCCCTCCAGGCCGCCGCCAGTGCCAGTCCCGCACTCCGCCGCCAGGTGGCGCTTAACGCGCGAGCTGTTTGGCGGGAAGCGGGAGGGGCGGGGCGGGGTGGGGCGGGAGAGGACAGTCATCGAGTCTAGCAGCCCCGGTGCCGCGCCGCTCGGTCCCCTCAGTCCAGTCCGCTGCTGCTGTTGCTGGAACGTGTGTGTACGCACCCGCTCGTCCCCGCTCCGCACGCTCACGACCGACTCAACCGCCGGCCGGACCGAAAGGTTCGCCAGCGACCTCACCAGCGTCCTCACCGTGAGTACACCATGCCGCCGGCTGGGCGCAGCTTCAGCTGGGCCGTAAGGGTCGTAACGGATGTGGCACCTGCTGGCAGCTGCCCACGCAGCTGGCCGCGACCAGGGTGCCGTTCTCACCCTGCCGGAAATGCATCGACGTTGAAAAACCTTGATCTGACCATTGTATGGTCCAATAAAATTCAACGTAACATCCGACTTCGACGTCGATTCAACGTTGAGTCGACTGTCAATTTCTGGCTGGGTCACGCCCGCCCCGCGCCCGGCACGCACTCAGCCCTGATAACGGGGCGTATCCGCCACCTGCTCCTTATCGCAAATTCAACCCGCGATTGCTGGGAAATTATCAGGGCGCGGCAAAACAGCAAAACGGATCCCTAGAATGGTGCTGCTTTTAGGTACAGTACACGCCGACGTCATCCGCTGCAGAGAATGTTTCTCCCTCTCCCACCCCTCTCCCTCTCTCACTTGCTCGTACCGCCTCCGTCCCTCAGCTGCAGCTGGTCCTGAGGCTGGTGGTGGTTGTGGTGGGGGAAGTGCGACGGCCAACCCTGACCTAGAGAAGCTTCCCGGCGTCTGAGAGAGAAAGAGACAGGCACAGAAGGAAGGGAAAAGATAAAAGCGATACAAGGTGGGAGGCGAGGCGGGGAAGGAGGTAGGGTGACGTCGGGCGTGCCGCAGTGCGGCTGGCTGTCCTCTCCCTTTTGGGCCGCGCCGGCCGGACTGCACTAAACGCTGACCCGCAGGACGGTCATGGTCTCCGCGATAGAGACGCCTGCCGGGGAACCCCCCAGCAGCAGCGGACTCCGCCCTCGTCGCACTCACACTTGAACGCGCTTTCTGAATCAGTCGGCAGTCCCGCTGAACTTCGCGAATAGGCGCCTCTGCCCACCACGGTCACGTCTGTGGCCTGAGGCCTGGCCTCTGATCAGAAATGCTTATCCAAACGCGATAAGAATCGATATGTGTATATATTTGTAATTTGAAGGTGAAAAGCGCCGTCTTCTGTCACGCGTCCATCAATGATGAATGGATGAGAGAATTTAATAAACAATCATCGAAGCAGTGAAGCCAGCAGGTGGATGAGGAGAATGCCTGGTAAAGCTCGTCCAAGCCAAAAAGAGGGGGGGGGAGGGAGAGGTTGTCTCTCGGTGTCGCGTAACGCAATGGACAAGTAGGTCATTAGCGCCAGCATGAGTCGAGTTGTGAGCCGGCCCACGACCCGCGGCCGGTGTTGCTGTGGGTAGGCTGCAGAGACCTTATTCAATCACTGGCCGAGTCGGCCGAGTCAGCCGAGTTGCCCCGATGCAGCAGTTATAGTAGCTTTAGGAGCCATTAGCGCCCGGCGGCATCAGCTGCACCCGCCGTGGTGGAAAGACTCGTAAACTACTTTCCTTAAACAAGCCATCAAATAGTCGCCGCCGCGAACGGGGGAAATGCGCCTGTCAGTAAACGATCACACGGAAAAAAAAGAATTAGCTAAATTAGCTAATGCATTCGCTAATATGGCCTTAGATAAGAATATTAGCTTTCCTAGCTAATTCCCAGCTAAGAAAGCTAAAATATTAGCTTTCACAGCTAGTTGCTTTATTTTGTACACAACTGTTATGGCTAATTTATTAGCTCTCCTTGCTAAGAATTAGCTAGGAGAGCTAATATTCTCATCTAAGGCCATATTAGCGAATGCATTAGCTAATTTAGCTAATTCTTTTTTTTCCGTGCAGATAAAGTGAAAGAGTCCGGAAAGACCCGTCGCTGGGCCGGGGTGATGGGTAATCCATAGCGAGCACGGAGCCCCGTTCCCCGCAGAGCGCCGCCGCGACCTGCAGCAACTCGTGATCGGGCCGATCCGTCGAGGATGGCGGGGCGGGGCGGGCCGGGGCCGGCCGGAGCGGAGCGGGCCTTTCGCGGCGTGGTGGGCCGACCAGCACTGTAAACAAAACTGTCTGAAAACAAGAATACCGTGGCTATATTTTTACATTTTTAGTTTCACAACTTATGTCATCACTCATTTCTTTTGTCAGCCCCACACACTCGTAAAATGGGAGTGACAAATCTGCGGGACGACATCGTTGTAATGGCATTGAGCAACGATATTCTCATTTAAAAAAAAGCGGCGCGCCTCCTCTCTTGGTGCTGTGGTGCGACGGCGACGCGATGGGAGAGAAATGTTCCGTGTTTGACTGACACGGCGGGCGTGTCCTGCTGATGTGCGCGTACCTTCCACTATCGTCTCTCTCGCACTCGCCGGCCGGTCCCCGTCGTGCATTAGCCATTACGATGTTCGCCGCCGCCGGTTCCTCTTCCATCTCTTTCTCTCTCTTTCTTTCTCCGCTCGCCATCCATTTTCATTCCCCTTCGCGCTCCGCGAGGTGACTCAGTTGTGGGGGGACTCTCAAAAAGTAGGGGCCCGCCCGCGGCCGCCCGGCGAGTGCGACCTTCACCTTGACAAGGCATGGGAGAGACGGGCGGGGCGGGGCAGGGCGGGGCATCCGGGAGCTGCCTCTGGTGAGGCGGCCGCGGGCGGGCTGCTCACTGTCGCCCGACTCCTCGCTACAAATTGCTCCTCGGAGCGGCCCGGCCCCGCCCGCGCACTGCTCTCCTCTCGGAGGCGGGGCGCGGGGCCCCTGCGGACGAGTAGGTAGGCAACCCGCATCTCGGCCGTGTGGGGTTCTGGCCTACCCGCTCGCCCACGCACACTCTCTTATCGGAGGCGGGGCCCCTGCGGACCAGTAGGTAGGCAACCCGCCTCTCGGCTGTGCGGGGCCCTGGCCTACCACCTGTTACTCTCACACGCGCGTTCCGCTCGCCCCCACCACTCACGCGTGCCCGGGAAACACCCAAAGTCACTCGCCGCCCTGTTCCGTTGCGGACGTACGACCATCAATATTGACCGGTCGCGGTCGGTTTTGGACTCTAGCAAAGCCGAAAGCCCTCACGCTCGGGTCTGTATCTCCAGACTGGGCCGGCCGGCCGTCCAGTTTGCCCCAAATGATGGCGACGCGACTCTTCGAAACACATTGATTACCTGTCAAGCTTTCCCGACCAGCAATATAGAGCCCCCCTTTTTTCGGCGACCCCTTTTTCCTTCCCTCTTCCCCGGTGGCCGCGGCCCTTGTGTGTCCTCCTCAGTGGTGCCCCTCGTATCAATACCTTCGCCGCACTAGAAGGCGGCGCACGGGTCGCCGGGAAGGGTTGGGCGTGGGTGGGGGGAGTAAAGGGGGCAGGAGGTATCGACTCGACCGGACGCGTTTTACCAAAAGACCCCAGCAGGACGGCCCTGCTACACTACCTACCTCCTGCGACACGAAGTCACGAAGTGGAGGCCGACCCTTCCTGCGAAACGGGTCTAGTAGTGTGCACGAGATAGACGGGGAGCAGCTCATCGTGTGTGAGGAAGGCAGTAAAGATAGACCAAGTCGGGTAAATGTTTTCATCCCCGTCATATTTCCAGGTTTTCTCATCTCGCATTCACCGATACGCAGAACAGTCGCTTATCGTTGTGCCGACAGACGAGCGGGACGCCACGCAAACAAATTACTTATGTTGGCTTCGGCGGGTCGCGTCGCGCGGGGCCCCCGCCGATGCACTATGCGAGGGGCCCCTACTCCGGGGCGAGGAAGTGGGGCGCTTCGCAAAGTGCGAGGAGGGGTGGGAGGGGGGCGGGGGGTCTGGTCGCCGCCGCCGTGAGTGTCCAGGTCGCCGCCACTGTCGTCGCCGGTGGAGGCCGGCGGGGCCGCGCTCCCTGACAGCAGGATGAAAGATGTACGTGTGCCGCGGTGCTTTGCGGTACCGCGCGTCTCCCCCGCGCTTTGTCGTACACGCCACAGTCCTCCCCGCGCGCCCCGCACGTGTGCTAACGGCCGTGTACAATCGATTTCCTTTTCAGCTTCTCGCTTCAGCTTCGTCCTGAGGTATAATTGCGTGAAGGGGTAATCTCGCGCTGCGAGTGCGTGATCGATTGTCTCGATCACGTCGTCGAGTCGAGTGGACTTGACTTTCTTTTATACAGGGCGATCGTGTCGCGACCCCCACGCACTGTACCTACTCTTGTCGTTAACGAAATCGTTTAAGCAAATGGCAGGCAAATTGCACGGTCGTGCGTTCGCGGGCGTGGAAGTGGGGTGTGGTGGGGCGGGTGCGGGGTGTGGCGAGTGGCGAGTGTAAGGGCGTGGTGCTGTGCGTGAGCTTCTCAGAGCGGCCACTCGCGGGTGCGGGCTGGCGCGCCAGGCCGCCCAGGCACCCTTCCACGTCCGCACATACTCCACGTCAGTAAGACACCCGCGGAGTGCCGCCGCCGCGGGGTCGCAGGGGTGCAGGCGGCGCTACTCCGCTCGCCGTGGGCCCCCCGGGGGAAGTCCTCGCGGACACCCCGCGCTGCCTGCGTGCCGAAGTGGTCGTCGTGGCGGCGCGGCGGTCGTGCTGCGGCCCGGTCAGCGTGCTGTCCCTATTAGAGGCGGTAATCTGATGATAGGTAGATCGATTTCCAGCATAGCGCTCGGCGACCGTGCGGGCCGCGGCGGGGGCACGGGCACACGACTGTCCAAGTCCGAAACGCAGACCGGTTGCCCCGGTTTGTCCAAATGCATTTCTGGCTGTGTATTCTGCTCGTTGCGGCGCCCCCCGCCATAACCGATACGTCGTCACCTCCCCTGTCACTCACCACCCTCCTCCAGGACATCGGCGTCTACTTGGACGATGTCTTGGCGTTGGCGGCACCCTCTTGCGTCGCCTCCTGCCCCCGCCCCCTCCTCGCCTGCTGGTGCCTCCGGCGGCGGCGGCCGCGTGGTGGGGGCGGTGGCGGCTCGGGCCGTGCTGGGCCCCCCTGGGCCGGGCCCCAGAGGCAGTGCGCCCCGAGCCGCCCCCGGGACGCAGCCATGTGGAGGGCGGGACCGACGAGCCCCCGCAGCCCCGACCACGCGCCGCCGCCGCCGCGCCCCACCTAGCCTCGCCCGCCTCGCCGCGCACTCGCGCGGCCCCGCGCCCGACAACATGCTCAAGAAGAGGAGGATGAACTCTCACCGTAAGTCCATCTCGCACCAAGTCCTCCTCGCATACCGCCCATGTGTGCGAGCGGCCGTCCTTGCCTGAGGGCCAATTATTTAATCGACGCTCAATAGTCTCTGGCGCTGCTGTGATGCCCGTCAAACTGTCCCGTGCGGCTCGGCTTCCTCCTCGTGCTGCGCGGCCAGCATCTCCCCCTCTCGGTGTTTGTCTTTTCCTTTGCTACGCCGCTGGCCGTGTGTTGCGTGACTTACTGGCGCCAAGCGTTGAGGTCTCCTTGACAAGGCGTGTGAGCCCAACCTCCCCCCTCCCTTTCCTCCTTTCCTCCTGTTTCCAAGTCTCTATTCGTTCATTTGAACCATAATTTCATAAATTATGACCCCGGAGGCCGTTGCGTGCCGCGGCCTGCCACCATTTCCTGATCGTCTCCCAGCTAATCTATCCCTCCTGCTTTCTGCTGGTCGCGCGCCTCCTGCGTGAGATTCGGGCGCCGATATCTCCTCCTCCTCCTACTACTTTGGTGCTCCTCCGATAGTCGGGGACGGCGTCGCGGGGAAAACCAAAGTCGGCCCCGGCGGCCCCCGCGGCCCCCGCGGCCCCCGCGGCGGGCGCGGTCGCGTGAGGAGGCGCCGTCCGCGGGAGGCGAGGAGTCGCCCTCATCACCGCGGGGAATCGACGCGGCGCTGCTGATGAGGCGCTCACTCAACGCCCGCGCCTTCAGGAGGGGCACAGGACCCCCGTCGCACCCCTGCTCTGCCCCGCCCCGCCGCCTTTCAAAGTCGTCCCTGGCCGACTTGTGATGAAGTTGACACAGCGCCTCCGCCGCCCGGCCCCGGTCGCACGCGTTCCCGACGTCACGTCCCCCAACCCCAAGACGTCGACGCCGACGCAATGCCCGGCCCTCCGCGCCCCTCCATCCCCTCCTCAGGGTGGGTGCGCACGGACATAGACAGCAGGGCCCCCCGGCATAGTCAAGGGATTCGGCCTTGAGGGTGGTTGAATGCGGGACGAAGGGTTGGGGGTGTGTGGGGGGAAGGGGGTGACTGCACCGCCAGGGGGCAGGAGGGTACAGGCTGACCTGCCCTGGCGTGCCGGCCGCGCCGCCCTCCGGTCTGCCTGCGGTCTCCTTGACCACCGTTCGAGCCATTAAGCTCTGGTGCAGGTCGACCACCCCGTCTGTCTGGAGCGAGACGTGGGGTGGGGCCGGCTAGTACGGAGTCCCCCCTGAACCGACCCACCCCCCGGGTCAGGGTCAGGAGAGACATCGACAGTGTGCATCCACTTTCAAATTAAAGGCCACTAAAAGAATAAAAACGAAAACTTCCATAGTCGGAAAGCTCGCCCTAGCACGCTAGCACACGGATGAACAAAGTCAGAAGACAGAGAAGACTTCTTAAGTGGGAGTGGCTACTCAGCTCGAGCCGGACTCATCGAGCGACAGAAAATACCAAACTGAGAGAAAGAAATGGAAAGTTCTGTAATGGGTCATGGAGGAAACGTCGGACGATATCCAGCATGGGTCGGCCCAGCTGTCGCAGAGGCTGACCGTTCAGGTCACCGAGCCCGCCCCGCCCCGCCGTCCTCGTCGCGCCCCCCGGGCCTGGTCGATACTCGGGTGCGTGTTCTGCTCACTGATTGCGCCCCGCCCTGCTCCTGCTGCCCGCCAAGCCTGGCCGCCCCGCCGCCGGTGGGGCCTGCTGAGCGGCACGGAGTCATCGCGGGCCGAGATGACGACCACGGCCGCCTTGAGCAGGAGTAGCAGCTGTGAGCAAGACACACGGGCCCCTGATGGGTAAATGAACGTCTGCGCGCCACCGTCCGGCCCGACGCCTCCGTGGGCGCCTTATCTGCTCACGCCTTGGACGACAGCCGTCGGGCCCCTTACGCCCCGACGGCACGCGACCACCCCGCCCCACCCGCTGCACCGTAAACCGATCGCTCAGGCCGGGGCTGCTCCCCGTTATGCCCGCCGCCGCAGTTAAGTCTCCACTGAGTCTGGAACGGCCTTTGCCGGCCCGACACGCCGAACCACCCCTATGTGGGGCTCTGGCCGGGCTGCGGGAGAATAATCAGCGCTCGTTGGGCGGCACCGGCGGAAACGGCGGCACGGCGATGGCGCCGGAGGAAGCCACCGACTTTGGAGGCCGGGCGGGGCGGCCGGGCGGGGCGGCCGGGCGGCGGAGCGGCGGGGTAGCGGGGTGGCGGGGTGGCGCCTGCGCTACCCTCACCGGGGAGCTGCCAACGGGGACCACGGCGACGATGACCTCTATCTCGCGGCCTCGCGCGTGTCGCTGGCCAGCCTACTGTACAATGTAAATCAAGGGCGCCCCAGCTGAGGGTGTGACTTACTTAGGGCCCCCGAACCAGTCATTTATTAGGCGACTTACATACATCTCTAGGGATGTGCACTTTATGCGATCGCATAATCGCATAATTTTTTAAAACACTTCGAAACGAAAAATTATCGATGGTTTAGGTATGTACATGACCGTCTGAGTTCATTTCCGAACCGCATAATATCGCATATTTTGGCGTGGATCGCATCATAACACACGAAACACATAAATAGCGCATAACTAGGCAAAATATCCAGAAAAATGCAGAATGGACATGTAATCTAGCCCAAACTAACGTGTTTCGA